CTTTAGGGGCTGCTCCACCACACACAACGTTCCCTTGACACGAAACCATCCTTCCCCACATCCAGTCCCCTGTGGCAGAGACGATGCTGTGTCTTCACCAAACATTTCTTTTTCCTCCTGGTCTGTGATGGGGTTAATTTTAAGTGTCAACTTGACTGGGCCATGGGGATGCCCAGACATATGGTCAGATTGTGTGAGGTTAACATTTGGATCAGTAGAGCTAATAAAGCAGATTACCCTTTCGAGTGGGGATGGGCCTTATCCAATCAGCAGTAGGCCTGAGTAGAATAAAAAGGCCCACCTGCCTGCAAGTATGGGAACTCCTCCTGCCTGGCTGCCTTCAAGCTGGGACATTGGTGTGTTTTTTCCTGCCTTGGGACTTGGCCTGGAACTACACCGTGGGCTCTCCTGGGTCCCCAGCTTTCCCACTCAGACCTTAGGACTTGTGAGCTTCCATAACTGCATGAGCCAATTCCTTACGATAAGTGTGTGTGTGTGTGTGTGTGTGTGTGTGTGTGTGTGTGTGTGATAGGTCTGTTTGGAGAACCCTGACTAATACATGGGCCAATAGAACACCTCCTTTTCCTAGTCTCCTTTCATCTAGCTGGAGTCATGTGCCTGGTTTTAGCCAATAGAAGGTGAGTGGAATTACAGGGACAGAAAGTGAGGGACTCAGAAGTGGAGCCACAGAATGCAAGGAGCCCGGGTCCAAGACATCGCTTAGAAGGCAGCTGCTGGCCTGCATGGCACATGCATGATAAGAATGTTTGGGGTTTTTATATCACAAGATAGCTCGGGCTTCCTAAGATACCCACTCTCTCCCTCAGGCTAACCTGCAATTCCACCCCTAACTCACCTCTTATCAGCTTGCATTACTCCATCAGACCGTCTAGGTTTTCTTTCTGTTCACAGTGTCCTTCCCTTTTTCCTCACTTTTTCTTGGCAGAAGAGGCGTTTTTCTTGGGGGAAACACACACGCACACACACACACACACACACACACACACACACACACACACGAGTGTAATGAAAGAGGATTCCTGGGGGATGCAGTAGAGGGAGGAAATTCCGTGTATCTCAAATCAGCATGTCCCTCAGCTGCTGAGAAATGGCCACACCTTGCCAAGCATCATTTTTTCTATTGGTTCTCGTTACTTGGAAACCTGGGGCCAGTCCCACTGTAGAAGGCCTGGGTCACAAGCAACAGTAGTTCCCTGCCTGTCCAATCCCTCGAAGGAGTGCCAGGCACATAATTTGTGGGGCTCAGTGAAAAATGGAAATGTGGAACCCCTTGTTCAAAAAGCAGGAAAAAGTGCCTCTCAAAGCTTTTCCCTTTCTTCCCCAGCCTCTCTTTACTCAGGATGGTTTGTGTGTGTTTGTAATTTGCTGTTTAATGTTTTTTAAGTAAAAGAAAATGAACATTCTAAATCATTATGAATTTCACTTTTAAATTGTGCCATGTCAGTTTTGAATGAAATGCAAGAACATCTCATTTGTCTGCGGACTCATTGAAAGTACTCAATTCATATTTTGAGTATATGCATGTGTATTTTGTTCTGACCAGGACAGTGGAAATACTGTAAAACACTAACTTGACTGTTTTCATTTTACTTCTTGATGCACACACATTCTATCAGCAACTCTATGGAAGACGGTGGCTTCCATAACACACTTCCTTCGTACTCACTTTGAGTCTCAGTAAACTTCCATATGTCATGGGTCCACTGGGCTCTGTACGTATGGGGTACCACGGAGGCTGCATATAAATGGAGCAACAGGGAACAGGGACTGACGTTCACACAGCACACATCTCCTCTGCTCCTGTACATCTCCATGGTCTCAATGGAGTTCACAAAAAAACACATGTTGAAAGGTGACATTATTAATAATTTCAAGATCTTGACAGCAGAGGACCAAACCAAGTGCGACACCCTTTTGAGCATCGAAACGGCTTGATTGTACAGGTCACACGCCCGTGAATCCGGGGATGCCTTAAGGGCGTCTGATACCCCAAGCTTGTCCGGAACCTCTAGTACAGGGACCAAGCCTGATTCTCATGTGTTCCCAAGGCCCTCATTGGTTTTCCTATACATCTAAGCTTAAAGGGGTGGTTCAGTGAGCTCGAGCCATTTGCCTCTATGCAGAGAAGATCGTCCAACCTTGGCCCACAGTTCTCGGGTGAATTGAAGTCTGAGGCCAAGTTTTCCCTGTAGTTGCTCTGCAGGCTCTGGCAGCCCTGCAGCACTGCCCTCTGCTGGTTCCACTGGAGCATGTTCTAGTAAAACTGAATGCCTTGGATTCTATCAGTGCTTCTTAAACTTTCCATTGAACCGCAGAAAATCACCTGGTGGTTTTGTTAAAATGCAGACTTTAAGTCAGTAGGTCCTGGGGGAGAATCGAGATTCTGCATTTCTAATGAATTACCAGGAGATGGAGACACGGATACTGCTGCCCACACACCACTGTTTTCTGTTTTTTTTTTAATTTTTATTAATTTCAGAGAGGAAGGGAGACGGGGAGAGAGATAGAAACATCAATGATGAGAGAGACTCATGGATTGGCTGCCTCCTGCACGCCCCTACTGAGGATCGAGCCCACAATCCAGGCATGTGCCCTGACTGGGAATCGAACCCAGGACCTCTTGGTCCATGGGACAAGGCTCAAACCACTGAGCCACCACAGCCGGGCCCACACACCACTGTTTGAACAGCATGGCATAAGAAGCCTATAGGCTTTCTGCTGCTCTGACCATTAGCTTTGTGTTTCTAGGTCTGTCCATGGGACTTGGTTCTCTCCTCCACTTACTACCCTGCTCGGATCTGTGGTCCCACACTCATTCCTTCTCAAGTTAAAATGTCAGTGGTCCTTCCTAGGTTCCCGTGGTCCCCAAGTGCATTGGCTACACTGTCAGGGACCAACTAGTCCCAACAGCAGTACTAGGTGACACCTGGAAGTTTGCAAGGCCAGGAGCTCCTGGGAACTCAGAGAATGCAGCCTTCATAGATGGCTCTGCCCAAAGAAACAGCTTGATTGGGCCCAGGTGGTGGGACCGACTAGGGGCACATATAAATGAGGCCTGGACTTTCAAATCCATGAGTTCATTTATTGCCCACCCATACTTACCACAAGCCCGGCCATGCTGGGGGCTGAGACCCTGTGTTGGGAACTGCTTAATGAGACCCCATGTCGACTGAACCCGTCTTTGTGCCTGACTCTGTGCCACACTTTTTACCCAAAAGCTTCCGGCTAAGGAATGGGTCTGGGTATTGGGAGAGAAAGTCTTTCCAAAGTTCTTCATTGCAGGTTTTAATTTTAAGTGGCTTCCTTGACCATGTTTATGCTACACAACTCTTGCGGAGACCAAAGCAGTCTTAGAAAGGTTGCATCTTTCCCGAACCGGTTTGGCTCAGTGGATAGAGCAACAGCCTGCAGGCTGAAGGATCCCAGGTTCAATTCCGGTCAAGGGCACATGCTCAGGTTGCAGGCTCAATTTCCAGCAGGGGGCGTGCAGGAGGCAACTCATCAGTGATTCTCTCTCATAGTTGATATTTCTCTCTCCCTCTCCCCTCCTCTTTGAAATCAATAAAAATATATTTTTAAAAAGGTTCCATCTTTTATTCTCACTTCTTGTCCAGGAATAATAGGATCCATCACCTGCAGTGCCTTTGGGCTAGCAAGTTTGTTAAAGTGGCAGCTCCTGCCCAGCCGTGTGGCGCCATGTTTGAGCAGTTGACCCATGAACAAGGAGGTCACAGTTCGATTCCTGGTCAGGGCACATGCCCGGGTTGTGGGCTCCATCCTCAGTAGGAGGCTGGCAGGAGGCAGCTAATTGGTGATTATCTCATCATTGATGCTTCTCTCTCTCTCTCCCCACCTCTCCCTTCCTCTCTGAAATCAATAAAAATATTTTTTTTTAATTAAAGTGGCAGCTCCTGCACCACACCTCCCCCCACTTCCTCCTCTCTCCTAGGAAGCACCTCAGAAGGCAGCATGGTAGAGGAAGGGATGGATTCAGCCCAGAGCCACCTGCCCAGCTGCAAAGCCGGAACCACAGGCCCTTGTTCTCTTTCATCAGTTGCTCTGCCCACCTCCCTGTGCTCCAGCTGGGCAAGCTGTAGCCCAGTGCCTTCGCCCAGCTCCCTCCCTGTGACCTCAGCCTCTTAGTCTTCCCCCCTCTTCCTGCACCATCTTTTCTCTTTCCAGATTTTTGTCCCCCTCATCATCTTCCTGTCTCTTATTTTTTTCTTTCCTCTGTTGCACCTCATCCTGCTGGTACATTTCCCTCAATATTTCTGCTTTGTCCCAAGCTCTCACTGTGCTCTGTTCTGCCTCTAACGTTCCATCTGCCCACGAGGGTCTCACAGCCCGTGAGAGTTAGTGCCTTGGCTGGTTTGTTTCCTTCCTGCGTGAAATAGGAACTCACTGCTTCCCAGCCCGGTGACCCTGTGTCTGGGAGTCCAGCTTGGGCAAAGGCTCTCTATGGAGCAGACAGCACAATAAACACATTGGTTCATTCTTTCAACACCAGTAGATATGTGTAATGCGATTCCTGATGGACTTTTCCCAATGCCCCGAACTTAGAGCTAAGACAAGGAGACTTCACACTCCCAAAAGAGCTATTCGTAAGTCAGGAATAGCATCACTTCTAAGCTAAGTAAGGGGCGATCGAGTTGATTTTTCTCCCCCAACAATCCACCCCAGCACTCTTCACCCCCACTCTGTATAAATAGAAGAATGGGGAGGGAGGAGAAAATCATCAGGATCAACAGTGTTGGATCTGGGAGAGACCGGTGGCTTTTCCCTCTCTTCTGCATGAATGAGGTCACATTGCCTTAATGCCAACTGAAAGGGGCTCCAAAAGCACTACATGAGAGAGTCAAGAAATATAAAAAAAGTGAAGCTGCTCTCCTTGGTCGGGCAGTGGATTCATTGATCTTCCCAAAGACAGAAGCATGGACTTTGAGTGAGATGGAGAGGAGTCTGCACACTCACTGCTCGGCATGGACACTGCAGACTATAGCCAGGCTTCACTTGTCTTGCCATCTGGCCACCAGGTAGGGATGCCAGCAGCGGGGTTGGATGCTACATCCTCGGTTGGAGCCGCGTGGGAGGAGGGCCAGGAGAGGCCACCCAGAGAACGCCTCCCACATCAGCACTCTTCAGAGGAGAGCTCCCACTCCCACAAACCGGTGCCCCCTCCCCCCACCCCCCCAAGCACTCACATCTGTGCTCCACAAATGAGCCAACACTCCGATGTCTGTGAGAGAAGGCCTCCACAGTGGATCAGTTTTAGTCAGAGAAACAGAGAAAACTAGCAGCGGCCAGGTAACTGAGAACTAGTTGGGCCTCTCTGCCATGCCCTCACCACTAGAGAAGCTGAAATTAGATGAGGCAAAATAGAGGGGAGAGGTGTTAGACCATATCTCCCTTCCTATTATAGATTTTTGGACCACGAGACAAGCCTTAGCTGGAGTGACAGGAAGAGGTTGAAGGGGAGTTTTACATTGAACTGCACTGTTGAGTTACTAGAAGTGATAAAAACGGAACTGAGGGATTTTCCCAAAGCATCCTTAAGTGAAGGAAGGCAGATTCGACATAGTCCTGATGTGAATGGGGGGAAAATGTAGGCTCCCAACCAACCAAGTTCAGGCTATTTAAAAATTGTTTATATGCATTTATTAAGCAACACCAATCCGGATTCAGCACTGAGAAAAACAGGCACAGTTCTTGCCTTCATGCTGGAGGACCACCCCAAGGAAAATTAGTAATTTCATTTCATTCATGACAATGCTACAGGTGTCATCAAATATGACAACTGCTAGATAAAAGAGCTGGTGAGGGCGGAGCAAATGTAAACTAGGAAGATTGGATCTAGTGTTAAGGATCAGAGAGGGCTTCCCTTTGGAATCAGACTGAAAAATGTAATGTCAGGGGAGTGTGTGTGGAGAAGCCTTCAAGAAAGAGAAAAGGGCCTGGCCAGTGTTGCTCAATGGTTAGGTGTCGGGCCCATGCACTGAAGGGTCACAGGTTCGATTCACAGTCAAAGGTCTGTACATAGGTTGCAGATTCTATCCCCAGCCTCTGTTAGGGCGCATGTGGGAGGCAACCAATGGATGTGTCTCTCTCACATCGATGTTTCTCTCTCTCCCCTTTCCTCTCTTCCATTCTCTTTTAAAAGATCAATGGAAAATAAAAAGAACGAAAGAGGAAAGGCCCTGGCCAGGTGACTCAGTTGGTTGGGGCATCATCTCTTACACTAAAAACATTGCAGATTTGATTCTCTCAGGGTACAACACACCCAGGTTGCGGGTTTGATTTCCTGAGTGCGCACAGGAGGCAACCAGTTGATGTTTCCCCTCTCACATCAATGTTTCTCTCTCTCCCTGCCTCTCTCTCTCTCAAAAATAAAAAATAAAAATAAAAAATCAATGAGAAGCAGATCCATGGGAGAGGATTAGAAAAGAAAGAAAGAGGGCGACTGGAGCAGCCGTTTGCCCGGGGGAGGGAGGGGGGGGGAGGTGCTGCGTCAGCCCTGCTGCTCGGACCCCTCGCCTGCTGCCGGGAGCTGTCAGCTTCGGCCCGGCTCTATCACAAGAAGGCTGTCCATCATTATGAAAATCCCAGAAACGTGGCGTCTCTTGACAAGACATCCAAAAGTGTTGGGACTGGATTGGTGGGGGCTCCAGCGTGTGGCGAGGTGATGAAATTCCAGATCCAGGTGGATGAGAAGGGGAAGATCCTGGGCGCCAGGTTTAAAACATTTGGCTGCGGTTCCGCAGTCGCCTCCAGCTCGCTGGCCACCGAATGGGCGAAAGGAAAGACGGTGGAGGAAGCCTTGACCATCAAGAACACAGGCATCGCCAAGGAGCTGCGCCTGCCCCCCGTGAAGCCGCACTGCTCCGTGCTGGCTGAAGGTGCGATCAAGGCCGCCCTGGCTGATTACAAACTGAAGCAAGAACCCTAGAAAGGAGAGGCGGCGAGGGAATGAGCCCCTGGCGAAGCCGCCCGCAGGGCCTTCAGCTGCTCGCCCGCCCCGTGCTGTCACCTTAGATTCCAGGAAGCTCCTCACCCTGCAGTGAAAGGCCATGCGCACGACCCTTGCTGTTCACACTGTGGCTCCGATGCGAGCAGAATGCAGTTCAGTTGTTCCGAATCCTGTGGTTTCTGTCAGCCCACTCTTACCGCCTTAGTCCTAATTCTGTATGTTTTGAATTGAATGTACGGCCTCAAATCTGAAATCACTAAGTCTTGAGTTTTGCTAGTCCACGAAGTGCACAAAGATCTATTTTATCTGAATCTATTTTGGGGAGGATTACCAATAGAATGCCTTGTAGGACTCTTGGATAGAACCAAGTATTGTACATAGAACAGATCTGCATCTATATAATAAATTAAAGAGTGTAAGAAAGAAAAGAAAAGAAAGAAAAGAAAAGAAGAGAAAAGAAAAGAAAAGAAAAGAAAAGAAAAGAAAAGAAAAGAAAAGAAAAGAAAAGAAAAGAAAAGAAAAGAAAAGAAAAAGAAAAGAAAAGATGAGGCGAGTTGCTCTGGGAGAAACAGCCACCACCTGGTTGCTGGAGAGGTGTGAATGAAAATTGGAAAGCTATGACTACATTTCTAGATGGCAAATAGAGAGCCATCTTGGGTGGTGGTGCTTGAAAAATAAGCCAGGTCTCAAATAATAATTCTTAGCATGAATATTCTGGGGCTTTCATTTCATAAGAGTCAGGATGAGATCAATGAGCAAAATCTGTTTTCCCTGATATGACTGAGGTCTACGTGTTTCTTAGAAAAACTAGTGTAAGACTGTACTAAGAGGGAGGTTCAATGACAATGAAGTGGGCCCACTTTCTCTCTCACCCTTTAGACTGGAGTTTAGCTTTCCTGACTCCAAAATCAACTGTGAGGACAGGAGCGCTTCACTCCGCATCAGGCCAGAGCCAGGACATTTGTATTTGAAAAACATGAGAAAGGATTGCAGGAGCGGAAACTGCCCCCTGTAGCATCTGGTTGTGTGCAAGATCCCTAAACAAAAAAAAAAAAATGCGGGGGAGAATTTCACTGAAGGGTTTGGGAATAACTTGAAGAATCAAGAGAGAAACTGAACATTGGCGCTGAGGTCATGAGATTTAATAGGCAAATTGTTAGGGTGATCAAGATGAATCATTTCCAATTTTTCTTGAGACTTGTGACGTTCTGCTTCATATGCAAATTCCTACGACCACTGTTCTTCCTAAAGTTCCCTGGGCTTTTGAGATCTACTGGACAATTCAGTGAAGAATTTTATGTAGATTCATGGCAGAGTTGGGTGTTCTTTTTCTGAGAAAAACTGGAAAGGCAGAAGTTACTCTGAACGGGCCAGAAACCCCTCTCCAGCCCCTTGTGTGGGCTCTGGAGACTCCGTGAGGCTAGAGAAGAATCAGCCCAACTAGAGCCAAAGACAGTTAGTGGGAGCACTGGAAAGATCGCTAGGTCAGCACTACAGAGACACTGACCTAATTCCCACCTCCCACCTCCTGCCTTGCACCATCACCAAAGACACAAAACTGAGTCCAGGAAACCCTACTTCAGGAAAAAGAGGAAAAGCTTGCCATCCCTGCCATTCAGACGGAGAGACCAGTGTGTCTGAAAGAGAAAGCATGGCAAGAGATGAGACCAGTGGGGTCACGGGGGCCATGTAATGCAGGATCCTAAGAGTTTCGTCCTGAGGACACTGGCCAGCCATTGATGGACTTCCAGCAAGGGAGGAGCATGGCTAGGTTTGTGTTGTAAAGATTGCTCTCACTGATGTATCTCAAAAGTTCCAAGGAAGTTATAGGTGTTGATAAAAGTGGTTCTCTGTGAACTTTCTGCAGGATGAGGAGGGGAATCAGCAAACTGGAAAATTTGAAATATTTCCTTGAAAAAATCCAGGTGTTAAGTTAGCATTATTTTATTAATTTGTTTTCATAAAATTTTTTTTCTAGATATCGGACAACTAACATACTGCAATATTGAGAGTTTATATGTAGAACCATGGACCACAGAAATGATGGTAAATGTATATACTTATATAAATTTTATTATGTTGATATATAAGATCAACATATACACATTTATATATTAAAAATTATATATTTTTATATAAAGGAGAGACAATAAGTTCAAAGTGTGGCTAAAATGGAAAAAAAAAAGCTAGAGAAGAATTTGAAACAAAACCTTAAAAGCCAGTATTTTCCCAAGCCACCCTTCATCATTATCTTTCTTTAATGGAATATTTCCTATGGAATGTCCTGAAAACTGCATGGTAAACTACAAAGTAAACTTCAAAGTAAACATACCTCTATAATTAGCACTCAGATCAAGAAACTTGTTATTAACTTTAAATATATGCAAGGGATAAGGTCTGTGTGATACTGTTCTCAGAAGACGAGGACAGACATTGGTAAATGTCCTCCTCATGCTCCTTGACTTCCAAGCACACGTGCACAAAACATATGCACATTAACCTTCTTCCCATATATCTGACTGCGAAGATGTCCCTCTTACATGATTAGACCATTCTCTGGTGGCAAAGACTCCGAATTGCTTATTAAATACATTCACCTTCCCCTTTTCACAAATTCACAAGCCCTGATGTGTAGTTGGATGTGTTGCCATTCATCTAAAGACTGTGTTTTCCAACTCCTTTACACGGAACTAAGTTTTAGCCATTGCTAATAAGCAGAAATCATGTAGAATTTCCAGCAATGGGTAGGAACATATTTTCCATTTCTTCTTTTATCCTGTTGCCTGAGACTCCCCCACCCCCACCCCCTAATAACAAAGGATGTACGCAGCTTTAATAGCCATCTTGTACTAGGAGGACAAAGGCCATAAACTAAGGATGATAGGACCACCATATCCTAAAGATATCTGAGAAGTCCCTATACCAGTGATGGCGAACCTATGACACGCGTGTCATAGGTGACACGCAAACTCATTTTTTTGGTTGATTTTTCTTTGTTAAGTGGCATTTAAATATATAAAATAAATATAAAAAATATAAGTCTTTGTTTTACTATGGTTGCAAATATCAAAAAATTTCTATATGTGACACGGCACCAGAGTTAAGTTAGGGTTTTTCAAAATGCTGACATGCCGAGCTCAAAAGGTTCGCCATCACTGCACTATACTCAACTAAACAGCCTACTGCTTGTCTTTTTTTAGTTGAGACAGTAATAAACATGTATCTTGTTTAAGGTACTCTTTTCTAGTTTCTTAAACTCATTCTATTTCTAATCCTAACTGATTTACCATGTGTAGCTTCAAACAGATTTACTTACCTCCTAAAAGGAACCATCTAAACGTTATAGTCAACTCTTGCACAAGAAGTCATGACATGGATACAGTCCTCTGAGTTCAGTGGTGCAAATGATGGCGATTCTGCTTTTGGTTCCTTATATTATGGGTCAACTTCACTTGAAAATAGAAATTCTAAATAAAATATTACCAAATTAATTTCATTAACATTAGAAGATATACCATAGGGCTTATTCCAGGAATGCAAAGATGGCATAACTTTTTAAAAAATCTATTTATGTATTAGTTAGGCTAATTAAAGGGGGACGCATAAAATCACTTCAATAAATGAATAAAAGATGTAGAAAATTTGACAATGATTTTAATCAACCTAGAAGATGAGAATTCACTTAACCTGACAAAGAGAATTTCACATTCTCTCTCTCTCTCTCTCTCTCTCTCTCTCTCTCTCTCTCTCTCTCTCTCACACACACACACACACATACACACACACACACACACACACACAGTAGATTGTAGCAAAAATGGCAGAGTAAGGATTTCCAAAAGATCTCTCATTCATAAAAGTAATGAGAAAACTATAAAAACAAATAATCAGAATCAACTTTTCCAGAGTTCTAGAAATTAACTAAAATAACTAAAGGTTTACAACAATTCAGGGAGTGTTTATTCAAGAAAAATATCTAAATTCCAGTAAGAGTAGTTACCTCTGTGGCATTTTATCTTGTCCTACTCTTCATCCTCTCTCTTGCCTCTCTCAGCACAATCATGATGAAAACCAATAGGCTTGTAGCCACGGTAGGAGCAGAAAGGGGGTTGAAGCGCCTTCAAAACCTCATTCCCAGAGAGCTATCATTATTTGATTTATCTGGTCATTCCTTGAAGAACCCCACTTGCAAGGCTGGCTTTATTGGATCTGACTGTGAAAGCCTTTTCCCTCAGTGTGTTTGTAAAAAACAATTAGATGCACTTCTGAGGTGTTGGATAACAGTTCTGTTCTTATTCTGTTGAATCAATCAAGAATAGAAGAAAACTTCCATGAATCTATAAAAATAAAATTGTAATATGCAAATCAACAGAATGACTGACCAGCGGAACAACCATCCGGGCATCCTCCTGGACAAAGCCAGGGCTGTGAGGGCTGAGGCAGCTGGGGCTGCGAAGGCCTACTCTTGTACAAATTTTGTGCATAGGGCCTCTAGTAACAGATAAGAGGGGGCTATAGGTTGTCTCTGGTTCTGTCCCACAAATGTCTTTTCATTCCAGTTTCTAGGCAACAGGAGCACATCCTTGCTCTGTTGTGCCATTCTCTGGCCGAGGGCAGAAATATCGAGCAGAAGGCTCTTTTTCAAACACAAATATGTGATATTTCCATGCTTAGAATCTTTCGTTGACAGGCTCTTTCGAAGGCTGAAAGGCTACTACTGGTCACTGCGTGACTTGGCTTCTATGGATTTCTCCTAATTTCTAGTCTGGCTCCTCCCTTTCTGCAAATGCTTCAACCTTCCTGGATTACTTGCAGTTCCCCAAACTCATTCCGGGCCTTTACTCAAGTTTTTGCCCTTCTTGGAATCTCCCCTCCCCTCCTAGTTCGCCTAACAAACTCCTACTCATTTGACAAGATTCAAACCAATTGTTGCTTCCCAGGGCCTCAACACCATTTCTTTGGGATGAGACTCTCTTCCTCCCCCACACATCACTTCTTCCCGTCCCCTACGTG